CCAATGCTTCTGGATACTTTGGAGCACAAATATTTGATGTGAGGTTTCCAGCAGAGCTTATGATCAATTAAAACACCAAGAAACTTAATTTCGTAAACTCTTTCAATTTCAACATTTTCAATTTCCAAATGTACTTCCTGCTTAATTTGACGATTTCCAAATATCATAAACTTAGTTTTGTTCAGGTTTAACGATAATTTGTTTACATCAAACCAACACTTTATTTTTTGCAATTCACTTTTGACCACCAATAATATTCCTCATGTGATATAGCTGTCACAATATATATTCTGCTGCTATCAGTGTTTTAAAACATTAAAAACACTGCACAGGGAAAATTAAAAGAGTGAATTTGCAAGTGAGTCACATGCCAAATCATGAAAAACTTGTCATGCAAAGCAGAAACTGTCTGAACAGTACATCACATACATAATATGTGCTCAACACAAAAAAAAAATATTTGGAAAGCAGCCAAATATACTGTGGTGCTACACGTGAGGGGGATGGACTGTACTTTAAGTCAGAGAGGAAATGAAAGACATAAACACGTGTGGAAGGCACAGCATGTTCTAAAGGGGGGTGGGTGTTGTGAATCGAGAGTCATCCTCGGAAAGTTTCAACTGAGGAAAATGTATTTGTTCCTTTTTTTAAACACAAAGAATGTGGACAAAAGTGAAAGGCTCCAGTAAAAGCAGACATTTCAGAGCTATGCGCAAACAACTCCTCCAAAGTGGATTCCTAGAAAGTGTGATGCAAAGCGACCTTTTGAACTCCTCGGGAGGAAATCTAAGCTGCAGCCTGGAGGTGTGTCTTGTTATGTCCAGGGCCGTCCTTAGACATTTACTCCCAGAACAGTACATTCTGTACGCTCCCCACCCGTTTGTTTGAAAACATCCATTCACTGAACAAAACAGCAGCGTTTCCTCGCTGTCAACACAGCAGGGAAGTGACACGGAAACAAATCGCATCAGTGGGCATCGGAATCAGAGAAAAACTGAACAGTCAACATAAAACAAAGATTTAGTTGCCTATCTAGAAATTAACTCAGTGACGTTCGTGGGACAAACAACAGCAAGAGAAAACAAACAGTACAAGGAATGTGACAAGTATATGACTTTATTCACAAGCTCTCTTTGTTTCGGGTGCTGCTGCATAGAGCAGCGCCGAGGAGCAGGCAGCAGGTTTTCAGATTTATGAGTTACAGTGCAGCCATGTAGAAACACAATGCCTCACTTCAAGGGATTTATTACCAAAGATATTATTTCCCTGTTACACTGAGGCAAAGGGCAGATTGGAAAACACGTGACAGCCTGCATCAGCTGAAAAATATATTAATAATCTATGACAACATTGTGAATTTAGTTGAGAGTATAAAGAAGACTGGTGACGGAGATTTGTTGCTGTACGCTTTAATAAGTTGCTTTAAAAAAGAGAAACCATGCTCATACAATAGTCATAAATAAAACATCTCACATTCAGTATCTCCAGATAATATTTAAGATATAGAATAAAACTATAAAGACGGAATAGAATATTTATGAACCAAAGGCATCTGGGTCTGTTTATTTAAGACGGTGTGAATCCCAGTAGCTGTTCTATGGGTTTGTACCGCCACTCGTCTGCTTCCAGCTCCTCCACCAAGCTTGCGAGTTTCTCCATCCGTGACACTTGTTGATCTGCGAGAACACACACAAGTGTTACTTGATTGAGGGCGCCAGGTTTGCACGGATCAGCCAAAACAAACATATTTTGCATGAACAGTCAGAGACTCACCGTGTTTAACCTGTTTAAGTGTGGAGGCAACTTGGTAGCTGAACACGGACTCGCACAGAAATCTGTCAGAGCCGTCTGAAAAGAAAAACATCATGATTAGCTGAATATCTAACTTTGATTAAAATTAATGAATGATTATTTTGTTTTTGGTTTTTGCCCTCATAGTTCCCTGACAAGGTTTGTACAGCAGATATGCTATGGACTATTAAAGCTGGGATACTTTTTGATTTTAAAATAACTGAAGGAAACACACACAGATGAGCTATTTATGATTTTTTGTTGAATATTTCAGGATTGAAATCAAAGCTTGTAATGAAAATGTCCTACGAAAATGTTGCATTCTAGTTTTAATGTAAAAAGGAAGTTCTCTTAAACAGTATGAAATAAATAACTTTGATAATGCCATGTCAAAAATAAGAACTAACACTTGCTTTTTACGACATGAGTTGTGCACGTTTTGCACCACAGTTTGGTAAAAAGAAATATTTGGCATGGTGTGTCTTCTGTCGAGACTTTTAAGGAGGTGTTTAAACCCACTGTGCTCCACTGTAGCTATGGGAAACATGTCCCTCGTGATGTAGTAGGAAATGGCGTCACTTATTTCTTTCCATTTTCTTGAATCTTCATATTCAGCAACATGAGTCACGTGACTACACATGCATTGCTATGTTTTTAAGGGGACAGTGCAAGAACAAAGACGTCGGTTTGAGGCTCTGAATGTCGGTGTCGATTATTTTTCGATTAATTGCCCAGCCCTTTGTGCAGCAGGTAGTGACACCTTTAATTTAGGGAGGGGGTGGAACGAAGGCGGTGATGCTGATGAGACAGGTGCACATCTCATCCCATGCTCACGTGTTGGGAAGACTGGGGCGGTGAAGTGCAGAAAAACCAGTAGGCCTAAAGCTGTTGTAATCTGTGTGTAGTGAGTTTGAGTGTTTTTCACATTTATTGTTTCAATGCACTTCAGACATGCTTCCCTGCTGGGTTGAAGGCGGCTGGTAGTCGGTGGGAAAGTAGATTGGCATACCAGGTGTTTTAAATTTTAACCATGTAGTTTAACATTTTTGTGTGT